ACACATAAATATTAAGTACAACCAGCTGTCAAGTGTCTAGCAATCAGACATAATTAAACTTGCTGTCCTAACTAGCGGGGTCTAATTTGTACTGATTCTTGTTTATAGATGTTTAAATGATGTGATTGACAAAACTTTGATAAAGCTTTGACATATCTATATGTACCTGCTGTCCTGCTGCTACTGCAGAGTCTTGTAGGCATGAGAAGATTCAGTGACTACAAGATAATTGGGAATCATGATGATTGTTAGGAAATATGACTTTACATCATCGTGAAAATGATGTGAATTAATGTTTGCAATGAAATTACTTAGGGACAGGTGTTGGGGCCATTAGGCTTAATAATACATACTTTAATACAGAGTCATCAATTTGAACTACTGAAAATATGTCAAGCATGTTACTTAATTTAAAAAAACATAAATACAACAAGTAATCAAGAAAAATGTTTCTGTCTATATTGTGTAATATGAAGGTTAACATTACATTTTATTTTCTTCCAGCTTGTCTAAGAAGCTGGATTGAGGAAGGATGAGCAATCATTTTACTACAAATCTCATTAGATACAAAAATATTCTTTATGACCAGATATTATTAAGGAAAAAAGTTCATTTGCAACCTATAAATACGCTATTTTAGCTATTATTATTAAGCTCATTATTATTTATTTATTCACTGATATTTAAACCTTTGCGATAAATGTACATTTGTTTTTCTGAAAATCTGAATTAAAACAACGGATGGTCTGTTTTAAATGATCTGTATATTCATTTGTCATTTTATCATTTTGTAAAACTATGAAATTTTCTTTTTAAGACAAAAATGTCATAGTTTTATGATAATGTATTTTTAGAACATAAACATGTCACGCTATAAAGCAAGTTAACAAAACCATTCACTCATTTATTCAGTTAATTATCTTTTACTTTGGCCTACAGCGGCGACTCGCCTGTATTATCATTTGTAGGATTTTCAAAGAAAGAAAATATTTAGGAAACATGTTTACATAACTTTCTTTAGTTTTCATTTTTAGTTATAATTTCATAAGACATAGATTTTACAATTCAGGATCCCTTCGTGTATTAGGTTTAAATATTCTCATTTCTCATCTCAAATGATGACTCAGGTATCAAATAATTTCTGGTTTGTTTTACCTGCCTGTGATCTAAATGACTAACTGAGTCCAGCTCTACAGTCAAAAGCTTTCAAAAGCAGCTATTTGATATCACACAACCAGAGTTTTTAAATCTTTACACTGGTGTTTCGGGCCTGTTTAGATGCTGCAGATGGCCAGGTGGTTTGAATTCCAGCTTTTGTGAGAACACCCAGGTATTGTTCCCTGACCACAGAGGTATTGTTCCTCTGCTACAACACGCAGAGCTTACAGCTATGGGACAATGAACAAAGGCAGCGTGTGGCCCCACAGCGGGTTAAAGGAGCACCATACTGAAACCCTTGGCGATAGACACACAAGGTCTGAGTTTAGGTGTAAGTAATGACGCAGGTATGACGGTACACGGTAGAGTCGAAGCCCGAGAACAGAGAAGAACCAGGGTTTAAATATATCTCTTTGCAACGGAAGAAAGGAGAAGAGAGCGATGAAAGATGGGAGCAGAGAGGCAGAGGAGAGAGATGGAGAGAGTGAAGAAGAAGTATGTGACTTTGGGGTGGGTGTAGGGGCTTGGGGATGGGGAGGGTGCCAGCTTGTTTTATTTCCGGTTGACAAGACTTTGCGCTCCCTTTCTCTCTGTCGCTCCCTCTCTCTTTCATACTCTGCTATTCTTTCGCCGCTGCCCCCATTGCTTCATCCAAGCCCCCCTCCCTGCACCTCCCTCTTTCTCTGTTACTTTCCTCCAAGACGTGCCTCGGAGAAAAGAAAAAGACTTGACAAGTTCAAAGGTAAAAAAAACAAGGAAGAACAGTGGTGGAAGAAACATTTAGACACTTTAATTAAGAAAAAAAATATTGAATACTTCTTAAAAGAAACCCTCACCCTGACAGGAAAAACAGCATGACGTACTTTAAGCACGGATATTAGTTTTTATAATACAGAATAGATAAATTTCACAACTACTCATACATAATGCATATTATGTGATTAGATTGTTTTAAAAAAAGCTTTTTACAGTTGATTCAAATGAGACTTTATCTATTTCATGCTATTTCATAAATCTATTTAACACTTCATTTTTTGACTCCATTTATTTATTCATACTATTTGTATTTTATCTATTTGTACATATTAACCGGCATCTGTGTGTGGACAGCAGAGAAAGAATTTCATTGTACAGAGAAATGTTTTCCTTTGCACACATGACAATAAGCACTTTGAACCTTTAGTTGGTTTAAGCTACTTTATGTGCTGTTAAGAAGTTAAATCAGTGCATGGTTAAGCTTTACAGAACAAGTATGTTTATCACGTTTCATGTAAAATAATAATTTTCAGAGGAAGTCATTTTACTGTAATAAGAGAACAAGGGGAACCAAACTGTAGAGCTTATGCAAAAAAAACAAAATCGAAAAAGAAGTTCCTAAAAATGTAGTAACAAAAAATACTAATAGTGAATACAGAAATCAGGGGATAAGTGAAAGAGTGTTGAGTAACAAAAACTGCTCAGCTGATTTAAAACTGGACCCAAAAATATAGCATTAACACATTACACACACACACATTTTGCCCCACCCTCTTGTCTTTTTTTTTTTTAGCCTGTTAACCTTTTGTTTTTTTCCTGTATTCTGAAATCATTGTTGCATCTTATTGTGTTCCAGTTGTTGGAATGTGGCTTAACCTATGTGATCCCTATGTGTCGACTGGAGTAATGTGTGTGTGTGTGTGTGTGTGAGTCTCTGTGCGTGTGTGTGACGGCGTGTGCTTCACTGCAAAGATTCATGTAGCTCCAGGACATGCATTTTTTTAGTGCATCTTGTTAGTTCATTCCTGTCACCTCTCTCTCCCGCTCTCTCTCTCCCTCTCTCTCTCGCCATCCCTTGCTTTTTCAGCGCTGAAGGGGGGATGGGGAAGGGGAGGTGGACTGGGCCGGGAGGGGAGGGAAGGGGTGGGGGCAGTGGAGGTGGAGGCAGTCACCATGGTTACAATGCCACGACAAATATTCATCAAGTTGTTAAAATAAAAACAAACGGGAGTGCATTATAATTGCTCTTACTGACTGGATCCAATAATGCGTTCATATATTATGAGTGAGAGGAGCAGAGAGGAATCGCTCGTGCTCCAAAAAAAAAAAAAAGGAAAGACAGAAAAAAGAGCCTGTTAGTGGTAAAAAGGGGATATCGGGTGTCCTGGAGGCAAACACAAGTGAGGCACACACTCACACGCACTCATTTCAACTATTTTCTTTTTGTGTGTGTAACTTCATTTCCCCATTACCTGCGTATGGAATTCCCTATGAGTACTTTCGTGAGTCTCCCCTCTCTTTTCTCTTTGTCCCTCCATCTCTCGCTCTTCCTCTACTGTTGTGTAGCCTCGGGCGATACTGTGATGTGTCCTCCCTCTGTCCCTCCCTCCCTCTCCCTCTCTCTCTGTCCCTGTCACCTTCAATTGCTCTGTGAAACTAGACACACTGCCTGGGGCAGGGAGGGAGGGAGGGAGAGACACAGGCAGGGAAGAGAGGAAAAAGAGAAAGGCAAAAAAGAGAGAAAGACAGACAGCTTTATAGACAGACGGAAGGAATAAACATTTGGTGTCATGTAAAGAAAAATAGGATTACCACAGACCACATGTGTGGCCAACATGTAAAAACAAAATCAGCTGAGGTGATGTTTACAAGTTTGACAATAAGATGTAATCCTCTAATAATGTTATGGGGTAAACAACAGAAAGACTATTTGTCGAATTTAGTGCATGCTTGACCCTGGTTGTGTGTCCCTTGCACACCTGTTAAGCAGATATGGACTATGATTCTTTTGATCTACAAACACATAATAAAAGCATGAGGGCAATATAGGTGTAGCTGAATCACACAGGGGCTCTTTAGAATGTGTGCAATATTGTCAGTTTTATAAAATGAGTCAATAAAATTTTTTATGGTTAACTTTGCTAACAGTCGCATGGAGTGTTTATAGGCATAACAATACTGGGTTCAAATGAAAGGCTTATTCATTCCTACGCGCAATGTTAATGCAGAGGCAGATTAGACCACTGCCCAACGCAACTTTTATACCACTGCTGCCCTAAATTAATAGTACCGGTCATTAACAAAATATTTTTTCTACTTTTTTCTAATGGAAAAAGAGCACCAGTGTCTACAGGCTCTTTAAATAAAATTATATTTTTAGTGCTAAACTATGATTATTGTTGTTAGCCATGAATTTTCAAATTTACAAATTTGAATGAGTATAGACAGATGCCTAATAAATAACAATATAATTTATAGTTTTAAACTAGATTTTGACAGATTTCTTCAATATTTGTGTTTTTATGTTTTATTGAAAAGTGGTCTAATAACGTTTTAGCATGTGCCTCAATGGTGATGTTCGGAGTTCTTGAAAAGTTTTGAGGTGTTAATATGAAACTGTAAATTTATATGAATAAAAAGAATATTATATTATAACGTTAAAATGAGATTAAACCGGTTATTTTCTCTAAGCAGTGCACAATCAACTCATACTAATGCAGCTGGATATATAGCAAGAACATTAAAGCACAGCTCACATGACATTAACTCAAATAAAACAGTTACCAAGTAGTGGAGTAGTCTTGCTCCTCTTTACCAGTAAATACAGAAGTGAAACAAAAGTGCATTCAAATCAAAAACAGGCTTTCATCAACAGGCAAAATGTAAACACAAACTAAAATTTATTGGTATGCAAAGAACACCTTTAATAAGCGGAAGAAAAAAACCCTGATACCTGTAACTAAATGAGGGGAGGACAATCTGATTGGTTGGGTTTTCCATTCGGTAAACGTTATTGGTTCCGGCGAATTCAGGGGAGGGAGCAAGACTTTCGGTTGGCTGTAGGTGAGCACACAGGTAAACAGACGATTAGGCGCAAAGCAAATGCTCGGAATCTCGCCGATACTGGTAAAACCTGAAACCTATGGTTGTTTTTTTCGACGCCGCAGGGAGGGCGACTTAGATGATTAGAGATGTAATTTTTTTAAAGACTTAACTGCACAGCTGGAGACTCTGATTAATGATAGAGGACGCTGGGACATATTTACAGTGTTTTATAATTGAGAGATAACCGTCTCGGTAGTAGTTGAACTACATTTGTGATAGAAAACATCGAATCATGTTAGTGATACCGAGATTTCCTGCTGTGTTCTGGTTCATAACAGGTGAGTGGGTTCCCGTTTGCTTCCCTCGCCATTTTTTTTCTTCCCCACCTGAAAAATATCTGCTGTTTGTTCTTGGCTGAGGAAGTCTGTCATTTTCTTTCTTCTTCTTCTTTTTTTAAGTAGCATTAATTAAAAAAAAAAATAATAATAAGTAAATAAAGTCCAGCTACCGTGGTGTACCTTCTTTCCCTCCTCTAGGTATTTTGGCTTCTAACGCCCAAGAATGTGGACGACCACCATTAATGCAGGACAGGATTGTGGGCGGGCTGAATTCGTTAGAAGGCGAGTGGCCGTGGCAGGTGGATGTACAGGTGAGGCCTTGGGAACTTTAGTAGATTTTCATGTATTAAATTGTAAAGTGTAGATTTGAATTACTCTGCTCACTAAATCCTCATTGGTTACAGAAACACCCTGATGGTCATATCTGTGGAGGCTCTCTGATCACGGAAAACTGGGTTCTATCTGCAGCACATTGTTTCCCCAAGTAAGAACACTTTCCTCTTAGAAATGGGCCTGTTTCTTCTTCTTCTTCTTCTTCTTCTTCTTCTTTTTTTGGAAGTCTTTCTTGTGTCCTCTCATTTGTTGAAAAAGAATGACATTAAAAACAGATTATGCTTGATTTGTTGTTGTTGTTGTTGTTGTTTTTCACCCACATGTAGCATTCTTGCATACAAAAATCATCTTATAAACAAAAATTGTGAAGCCTAAATCCAGAACTGCTACTTTTTAAAGTTTCTGTTTTCACCAGTCCTCATTTCAGGGAACACCTGCTTGTAAAGTAAATGTTTAGCCTTTAATTCATCGTCTCTCTGTCTTTTTTTCCCCCCCAGTCCATCTGATGTTAGTTCTTACACCCTCTATGTTGGTCGCTACCAGCAGAATAACGTCAATCCATACGAGTCCTCACATAAAGTGAAACAGATCGTGGTGCCATCTGGTTATACTGACCCTTACAGTGGAAAGGATGTGGCGCTGGTGGAACTGGCCAGCCCTGTTACCTGGTCAGATTATGTCAGTCCTGTATGCTTACCCACCTCTGACACCCTGTTCCCAAGTGGCATGATGTGCACTGTCACTGGCTGGGGGAACATCAGGGATAATGGTAAGGCTTTCTAAATTCATGACTTTATTCATTGCATGCATACATATGACTTTTGGACAGCATGTTTATCACCAGATACCTATTATTTTAGAAATGTATAACATTTCATCCCTATGGCCTTAGTGCATCGTGCATACACTTGCTCATCTTTGTGATCGAGGCTTTATATTTATACTGGACACAAACACTCGCCATACTTTTTGTTCTTCATCCTCTGTCCTCGTATTCCCCTCAGTCCCTCTGCCAGGAGTCGGGACTCTGCAGAAAGTGCAGGTGCCAATCATCTCCCAGAGTTCATGTCAGGAGATGTACCAAACAAAGCCGACGGAGCAGTTGGACATCTTGTATGACATGATCTGTGCTGGATACCAGGAGGGCGGCAAGGACTCCTGCCAGGTACTGTTGGATCAGCTGTTTGTGCTGTGTTTACATTAACAAAACAAGAAGTGGCATTAAAAATATTTTGGATTACCTCCTTTTTCTTTTTTTTCCTGTAGTCACCTAATCTCTGATTTGAGCAATCTTCTGTTTAAGCACTACTGAATTAATCTTTTGGATCCCCCCCCCCTCTCTCTCTCTTCTCAGGGTGATTCAGGAGGACCTCTTGTTTGTCAGATGGTAAACGGGTCCTGGGTTCAGGCTGGGGTGGTGAGTTTTGGAACTGGCTGTGCTAACGCAAACAAGCCAGGTGTGTATACCAGGCTAACCAGCTACTCAGATTTCATTAGAAGCACAATACCAGAGATTCAACTCTATGGCCATGCTAATCAAAACAAGTGTGCAGGGGCTCTTGTTGTGTTGCTCAGCTGTGTGATCGCTCTAGTGATGGTACTTCAGAAATAAGACTGAAAGATGTAAAGCAATCGGAATTCGCAAAACTGATTGTAACGAGTATAGGTGGTTCAGATTATTCACAATCACAATATTTTACTTTGTATCTGACATGCAAATGACAAACTGATTTCTTCTATATGCTGAGCTGTCAGCATTGATTCAGAGTATTCAAAGTAGTTTTGAAAAGGTTGTATTTTAAATCAAGTGAGTAAACATTATCTTTTGTATTTGAAATAAATTGTGGATTTGATACCTGAAGCCAACTTGGTGCTCTCTTCATCTTTGTGTTTGCATCAGTTTATACAGTCACTGGCTAAGGTTGGGCGACATGTAAAAATTTTCCAACTGACAATT